AGCGGCTGTACACCGTCAAAATTGATTGGGTCATTTGAATGCTCGAGTGCATGCGGATGGGTAAGCAATGTTGCTTCGCTCGCCTTCGCTGTTCGCTTTCAGGGTCAAGTAAAGGCCACCACAGACGGCAGAGGAGCGGCACTTTGAGATCGACGAGTGTGAGTGTCCCTGTGCATCATGCAGTCGTGGGTGTCTCTTGCGCCCGCTTGCATCGACCATGCATAATATGCAGCAATTAAGCAGCAAGTTGCTCATCGCGGCATGATGGAAACAAGACGTATGTACGGTAGGTACTGCTGTATGTACGCCGAATGGTGGGTGGCGCGATATACTCGACTCGAGGAGCAGCAGCAGCTGCATGATCGATGCGGAGCGAGGAGGATGAGATTAAGCGTGGTTGCGCGCGGCATGCATGCGTGCGCGCATCGAGAGATCGATCGGTTCATTGCGCCAACGCTAGACCCAACCTGCAGCATCTGGCCGCCCAGGAGCATGTACTCGACCCCTGCTGCGAACGTGTCCGCGTCTTGTTTGGCCTCAAAACTCACCTTACGACTCGTCAGTCAGCATGCAAGTCACGAGTATAAAGAGGCAGAGGTCCTCGTGCTTCGCGCGCCCCTCCGATCACCTTCCTCATGTCTCGTCTCCAAGTCTCAGTCCGTCGTCTCCGATCGCCTCGTTGCTTCTCTCGCGCTTCTCCACCCAGTCTCCGGCACCGTCGCTTTCCGGCGTTTGATACGATCCCACCTTCATTATACACTCGTGACTTCTCTCTCGCGTGCAGCTCAGCTCCAGATCCCGTTGATTCGCTGTCAAGTCGCAGCACTGTGCGCAACACAGCCAAACACTTCTTGAAGCAGCATTCAAAGACAGAGAGAGCTTACGAAAGCGCAGCGCGCTGTTTTTCAAAAACCTCAAGCGTCATTCACAGTCACCCAGCGTCCGGTCACGCAACTCTTCGTCACCCTTGCAGGCTTTGACAGCCCTGCTTCAATCCGCTTATTACGACACTCGACAACCAACGCAGCAATGCGCTCACCCGTCATTACCTGTCTTTTTGCCATTTGGCTGCTCGCCACCCACGCTCACGCGTCTCATCAACCTGGCCAGGCCCACGATGTCGGCCACCACGGTAGCAACCATCACGGCACCCCTTTCCACAATGGACATTCCTCCCACCGTCACAAGCGAGGCTCTTGCCGTGCCCATAAGCCGAGTCCTGGATCTGGAGCCGACTACAAGCCTCACAGCCACAAGAAGCACGGTGGAAAGCAGGGAGGGGGTGGAAGGGGCGGTGCTCACTGGCCCGCGCCAACTCGTGCCGTCGTCGGAAAGGGTACGCACGTTCCAGGTCACAAGGTCCCTCACTGGACTCCCGCAGGTCCCGCCGCTCTTTCTTCCGCCATACAGTCCTGCTGGCCCGGCCAGAATGAACCTAGGCCGACGGTAATTGTCACTGACGGTAGCTCCAGCGTTGTCATGGGCGGTGGGCACGTCAGCACTACTCGCAGCAGCAGCGGTAGCAGCTCTCCCAGTCCCACTGGCACCGGCTCCGGCTCGGTGAGCGAGAGTAAAACCGCTTCCCTTTCCAAGACATCCTCCTCCTCTGTATCGTCTTCAAAGAGTGATAGCTATTCGGCTAGCAGAAGCACAAGCAACACTGAATCGGTGCCCACGACTGCAAGCCAGACCGGCACCGAGTCCAAGTCGGCCAGTCAGACGTCTTCCAGCAAATCTTCGAGCAGCACCAGCAGCTCCTCAGAGACCACCGGTACGTCCTCGACAGCCACCAAGACTGGAACATCCACTAGCTCCACTTCGACCAGCAGCTCGTCTAGCTCGTCTAGCAGCTCAAAAGTGACCAGCACTACAAGTACAAGCACCAAGACGTCCAGTACGTCGACCAGCAGCTCCAGTACCTCCACCAAGCCTGTCCGACCTACCTACTCGGGCAAGCCAGGTTCTCAAGCTTGCCGATCTGGAACGTACGACTTCCGCAAGATCACAAAGGACGCATTCGTCGAGATTGGCAACGATGTCAACACTCCCGCAGGTCAATCTGCCGACTTTATCAACCAGTCCGGCTCCTCTTCCACTTGGAAGCTGACAGGTGCAGGTCTCGAAGTGATGCTTCCCAGACCTCAAGGCACTCAGCAAATCTTTAGCAGCACGGTGCAGACCAGCTTCCTTTTGCAACTCAACTCGCGCGTCTCTTGGAGGATGCAAGTTTCAGACGTCAAGGGTACGGTCACCTCCGCTACCATGTACGGAGGCCAAGGTTCGGACGAGATCGACATCGAGTTGCCAGCCTCCAACTACCAAACGAACATCTTCGGCAAGGGAGTTTCGGGTCCTAATTCGGCTTGGCACTCTTCCGACCTGGTCGGGTCCAAGACTGCAGGAGCTGTGCACGAGTACTCTTTCACTTGGACCAAGGACTACATCGAGTGGACTTTCGATGGCAAGGTGCAAGTCAGAAAGATGGCAAAGGATCTCAACGGTGCTTACCCGCTCGGAGGCTCCCCACTCGCATTTGGTATCTGGCAGCCCAACACGCCAGGAACTATCGCTTGGGCTGGAGGTCCGCTGGATTGGTCCAAGTATCCCGTCGGACAGGGTCCCAAGGCACTCATCGAGTCCATGACTGTCCAGTGCAACCTTTGAGAGGCAGATATTTTTTCACTCGCGTCGCAAACTCTGTACACGCCGCACCTTGTCGGATCGTCTATACCCATGCTCGGACTTGCTCCTTGCAAACCCGTTGCCCCATGAACAATGTGGAATTGCTTTTTATTGGCCTTCCCAGACAAGTGTCGCCTTCAATCGTGAGCTTGAGGAGCGCTTGATCGCTCACGATTGTACCACTGCGTGACGCATGACCGTTGGCAAGTATGCGCGTCGACGGTTCAACGGCAGACGCGCATGTCAACGGAAATGAGAGTTGGCTCTGGAAGTTCACAGCCCACAGTGCTCGTCCGTGACATGGTGGGCAGATAGATGATCTTCAACGAATTGCCAACGTTGTCGTATCCGCTCCGTGATCCATTGGATGCGGAGAATCTGAACAGCTAATAGTGTCAAGCCCCATTGATTGCTGAGCGCATCGCTTAAAGAGGCGGTTGGTGACCGCACATTCCGCCTCTTTTTGATCCTTCACCGCCTCTCGCTTGCCCCCTTTCTTCGACTCCTTGCAACACACTTTCCGATGAATTCCTTGGCACCTACCTATTTCTCTCCGCCTCCACAGACGGAGAGCAGTAATTTTGCTTCGAACCCATTGCATCTGCGTCGTCACGTACCCTCCGTGCAACTTCCTTGCGCCAATCAGGGCGCGAACGCATTGACGCACGACCCCAAGCAAGCTCCGGCGTCCACGTGTGAGGCAAATGCGAATGGGAGACTGCTGCGAATGAAGCATGAGGATGAGACGCTGTATTTGAGATTGAAAGATCCGAGCGAGGTGGAAGATGCGTCTACTGTGGCAGAGGCGGCCATCCATCAGCCCGAATTGGCCATCCAACAACTTTTGGCTACTTACAACGCTGCCATTGCGCGCGTCATTGCTTGTGAGTGCGATCTAGTCATCTCTCATGAGC